TCTCATAATATCACTGTATTGTTAACGAAACACTGACAGGAATGATATGATGACGTTTATTGTTTCCAGTAAGCCCATTGTTAGGAACAGTGGTTAAGATAAAACAAACTGACTACTTTACACCATTATTTTGTACTTCACACATGCGCAGATGAACATGCAGATGCATCCAAGTGCTGATGACGTGTCAGGGGCGGACGACTTCAGGATAGGTCCGAGCCCGATACTTCCGGTTCCCGTGTCAGTGCCGGAAGTGTTGCCGACTGTGCCGTCAGTTTTTGGTATCGGTTCGTAGTCTGGATAAGAACACACATGTATGACATAGCATGTTTTTGTCCTAATATTACTGTTATTACTACCTGACAGGCAAAACTGCCGGCGGCGAAACTGCATAGTGGAAATAGGTTTATGTTTGTTGTGGACAAGACCAAGATCGACTAATTGTTCTCTTTCTCGTCTTTTCTTTTAACAAATGGGTAACTATATATACGTTATCCTTCATAAATCTGATTTTAAGTTATCCATTAAACCTTGACCCCTGACTACAGACAATATATCATATCTCATTGTGGTATAAGTGGTACAATGAGTGGAGGACCCAATGAACAGAAGTTTTATTGTCGGGGGCTGCATAATTTGATCTATCCAGAAAACTAGCACTAAACTCCAAAAGATTCCAAATTTAAATGTCGAAATGGGGGAAACAAAAACGTTTTCCTGAGACTTACTCACTCACTACCAAGCTTAGCTATATCTTCATATATGCATAAATGACCTTCGTTAACTGAAAAATGTCACCGATGAAGAATGTGCCTGAATGCGCCGTCTGTGGGACTCAATCCTCACGCTATCGACCACTGGTTATCACGTTGGAGGTCTACCCTAGTCTCACTGGAAGCCTAGATGTGGTCGTGCTACTGATGAATACATCAATAAACCTGTATTTCAGTCAACTGAGTGAAGCGTTCCGACGGTACTTACCAAATGCCCACGTAGCCTTCTCTTTGGAACCAACTATTACATGGGCAACGCTGTACGTCATTGGCAGTCCTTTCAGTGCCACCTTCTTGGTGTCACTCCCCTCTCCGAACATCAGCATCTCGTCCTCCCAGCTCACCCACAGATGTAGGGGGCTGGAGCAATGCTCGAGGTTGGTCATGGTCACTTTCACGGTGTCAGTTTCACATCGATCATTGCATACTAGGACGGCGATGCGAGCGTCCAGTTCCGGAACCGGCATGCTGAGGGTTATGCTGTGGTTCCTAGTTCGATTGGCATCACTTACAAGTATGATGCCACTGCTGCACGTTGTGATACTGAAGGCCAAAGATGTTCTTGAGGTCACATCAAAGCCGATGGAAGACAGCAAGATTGGTACCTCCAGAACTGTCTCCACAGAAACCAAGGACAAACATGGTGTTGAGGCTAAGGGAAGGACAAAGAAGTGATTATGCGATATTGAACAAGTGGTCATACAAGAAGTACATTCAGTCGTAGTGAGTAGCTGCGTTCGAATCAGCTCACAACAGACACGTGTAGGTACCATCTCACATTGTAGTGTCGCTGGATATAACAACTGTTTCATTCTTTCAAAAGACGGGTTATTTTCCATATAGCATGCTCAAGGCATTATAATATGTAAACGTTGATGATGTCCACTTGTTAAGTCAGCATAAACATGGAATGATTAACAAAATACGTTTAAAGGACAACAAAACAACTATTCTTCGTCATGAGTATATTATATATGTATGGACTCATTTTCGCCTCATCCCTCATCTATTGTACAAACATCTTATGTATATATATCACCCAAAATTACTTCCCATGTACCACTTGCTTGACAACGACATTAGAATCTATGTCGAAACGTCGCCTATATGGAATAAAAAAAGTTGTATATCCATAAAAATAGTCCTCGTTCTTAAAGTATGGACAATCAAATTTCAGGTCAACAGGATTTAACGGGTATTAGACAGCACCAAATGATTCCTATGCCACATTACATCCGTCGCCACATGCAGTTATGAAGCATACCCACCTATTAGAATCCCCGACAGTATGCCTACCACCCAAGCCATGGTTGTGGAGCGTCTGCATAAGATTTGCTGACGATAGCCTTGCCATCAAAAACATCTGACGTTTTTATTGAGACATGTCAGTGCTCATACTCATGAGTTCGCATAGAAAGTGAGATGTGTCTGATTTGATGGTAAGATTAATCTCATTAAGCATTGCATGACTCTCTAATATTTGATACTGCTCACAACAATTCTTTGATATGTTCTGAAGGTGTCCTTGAGCTTTGTCTGTGACGTTCCTCCAGCATACAGTTGTGTAGTGAAAGCTAATGACTGACAGACTGCATACACGCACTGCTATCGCCGTTCATCAAACGATAAGTGAACTGGCTTGTATGCCGCTTTGAGCAATATTTCACTTATATCACAGAGTGTCCTTTTAATGAGAAAAGCTCTGTGATGCTGGTTGTAGAAGAAAGGTGAAATATGTTTGATGCCCTTTTTGTCAAAAGTATTGCACGTAGATGGGGGTGAGTGAGCGAGTGTGGTTTTACGCCGCTTTTAACAATATTCCAGCAAGATCGCGGCGGGGGACATCAGAAATGGGCTTCACACATTGTACCCATGTGGGGAATCGAACCCGGATCTTCGGGGTGACGAGCGAACGCATTAACCACTAGGCTAGTCCACCGAGCCCACACGTACATAGGCCGCAAAAATGAAGTTTTACTGTGTATGTATCACTTTTCCAAATGAAATTCAGAGTTTAAAGTTAATGAGACACACATTGTTTAAATTTGGTTGTGAGGAGTTGGTGGTGTGTTGTTCTGGATGTAGACTGAGCGTTAGCCTCTCGTACAGACCCTGAAGCAAATATATCCAAGAAAGCCCACACAAGTCTAGAAAATGTGTCAAGTCTAGATTTCCTCTGCTTCAGTCTCAGGGCTCCTTTTCATTATATATATATATATTTTTTTTACTATGAACTTTTTTCAGTAAAAAATATGTTCATTTCAGAGACTAGTTGTTAGTCTAACTGAGGATGGGCAGCACGATAGTGGGTTGGGGAGAGATTTGGTTGAGACATGTCACCATGACATCAATTCTGGTTATTCTGAGGGAACTTAAGGGTTTGTTGACATCACGCCTTGTTTCAAAGATTAATCTTCCAGTTCGACGATAATGGTCCTGTTCTGATGACCTCTTTACCTTTTCATTATTGATCTATTTCCAATTCTGGTGACATTGCTTCCTGTTTTAAACACGTCCACATCACATTTTCCTGACTTAGTTTCCATAGGTTTGTTCACACAATACATATTTCATCATTTCTTGAGACAGCTAGAGATGTAGCCAAATGGACACTTGGTTGAAAATCTTTCCTGGGTTTTACTCTGTGCTGTATGACATGTGGCATGTGAGAAAATGAAAATATACTACAAACAAAAAGTATGAGAACACTCTAAAATTTGATAGTCACATATAAACTGAAACGTGGTGAGGTCATTTATACTCTAAGGTAAATTCAACTTTTTGTGTGCTTAATGGGGACTTTAAATGACATGTTAGAACATGCAGTGAAGCAACTGATGGGATGTCTGTCTTCCACATGCAGTAGCCTGTTGTGTTTGGGTGTTTGAATCAAACAAGGTGCTGGTGTGTTTCAGCACCCTTGTTTTTCGCTGTTTTGACAATGTTTCATTTCACTCAAAGTCAAAGAATATTGATTCAGTTGCTTCACTGCATGTCCTAACATGTCATTTAAAGTGTCCATGAAGCACAAAAAGTTGCATTTACCTTAGAGTATAAATGACCTCACCAAGTTAAGTTTATACATGACTATCAAATTGTGTGGTGTTCCCATACTTTTTGTTTGGAGTATATCTGCAGCATCGACATTAAATAAATCAGTGGTGCAGTATGTCAAAAAAGGATTTTTTTTTATCTTTATACAGCACTATCTCACATAGGATCAACTTCATTCCTTGATCATGGCCATTTGACATGGTGACCACAGACTCTGCTTTTAGCAGAGATTTCTTATGAAAGTGGAAAGGGTTTTGTCGCTTCTGTTTACATATTTATCTTCACACTTTGAGGACAATTCGTCAAAAATGCAGTGCCATCTGCAATTTACTCAGAAAAGAAGATGCAAAATGCATGACTTCCTCAATGATAATATCAGTCAAATCCGGGTGTAATATATTCAGGCAGAACTTGCATGTAGGCATTCCCACAGACACTGATCTGATTTATTATGAATGTGAATCACAACAGCTTTTATTGGTGAAATCAAAATGAGGCAATCTGGCCAAGATGGTAAATTTCAGTTTCAGGTACATTCATGATCTGATATTTAATAAAACGGTCAAAGAATCACTTATCTTACATTCAGTTTCCTACTCAACCAGAAGTGTAGGAGACCAGTGATACTGACCAGACAGATGTGTTTGTGGCCTCACCACAAAACTGGTATTATAATAGTTATTCATAAACACATGCTCAAGATATAGTCGGATTCATACAATGGGCTCTGCTATTAACAGAGTTTTCTTGTGAATATGGAAAAATGTCTGTGTCATTCTATGTTCATGGTATTTCAGCAAAGACACAGTCAACAATTAAACACCCTGTGACCTAAAATGTCAGATTAATTGGTGTGTTTGTGTGTGTGTGTGCGCATGCAGGGCTGTGCACCCCCCTGTCCTGAAAATTATTTAATGACCATTGAAACTCTCCTGAAAATGAGGTGTGCACCCCCCTTTCTCAAGAGAGTGCACCTCCACCCCTTTCTCAAAATGTTGTACCCGCCCCTGTGTGAGTAAGGAAGTGTCAACCTAACCATGTAGCAAGAAATAGTTAGTGAAGCTTACACCTAAGGCCTTCTTGTGTCTGGCACAACATCAGAAATGCTTAATATCTGGTTGTATACACAGTAATGGGTTGCACTGCTTGTACAAACAAGGTTACCAAACTTAATATTCTTTACAGTTTATTTTTAGATTCACATGTGCATCAAACACTGATCACTGTAGAATGTAGGATATAAATCAAATCTGTACAACTACTGACTTTAGTGAAGTGCCAGGGCACAACCTGCCACATTATCAGGACATCTGACAGCATTCATTGCTTGCTTAAAGCAAATGCATCATTTTGTTACACTTCGCACATTAAAGGGGTGGCTGCATAACTTTAGAAAAACATGCTGCCTTAAAATAAATGTTTCCCTTAACATTCAAACTGCTGGGCACCCAAGTTCATCTCCCTGGTTGTTGACATTTTTGCCATGTTTGTGAAAGTTTAACATACAACAGAACATGGGCATTGGCATTGCTACATCTAGAAAAAAAGAACTCTGTCATAATGCACTCACTTAAACTGAATCAGTAGTGTTACAAATGTACAAAGGTCCTACCTAATTTTGATAGAAAATAATAAATGTTAGTAATTCTAAGTATCATATACAATTAAAGTCTTAGCTAACACTCTTGTAATTTATCAGTACAGTATGGTCCTAGGTTGTGAACAGAAGGGGCCTCACTGAAAGTACACCACTAAACATGTTAAACAAGACATCCTTGTAACCGTCAGTAAGGCAGGCATACACTCACACTGTCACAGCTTGTCATGTCCACAATCCAGAAGGGTATTTCCTTTCACTGATATGAGTATAAACAGAACATCTCATTTCAGAAAGCTGTAAAACAAGCAAACACAGTCTTGGTTCTAAAGTTCACCGTAGTGCACCTGGATATGTAGTCCAGTTTCAAATGTCAACCAAATCAAATACATATTTTCTGTATATAAAAAAGGACTAATTGACAAACTGAAACTAGAAATTTCATTATTATTTTTTGTCTAAATGAATTCATCAGCATCATGGAAAATGAATTCATCAGCATCATGGATTGCAATACAATCATTACTTTTATACAAAATCTGAGCCTCAGATTTCAGGGGACTTTTTTCTGTTCAAATCACTACATATTTTATCCTCTTGCCAAATGAGAAACTTTTACATGATGCCCAATACCAAATCCTAGAAATGAATCCTTTGAGAACCAATTATGTTTTTGATGACAGCCTATATGGCACTCCCTGCAGGTTGGACCTGAACATAAGGCAGGACTGACTGCACAACAGCATTGTGCACAAACATGCACAGGTTAGACACCACACAAATCAGACATACATTCGCTCCATTGTCGGATATTAACAGTGACATATATACACTAGGTTTCACAGCATGCATAGATTAAAATTTCACCTGCAATGTGCAAATGAGCAAAAAAGATAGGTGTTTTGATCAACCTCAGACTTCTTTGATAAGCATTTAATAAGTGCAATACAAATGGAAGTACAAAGACTAAATAATGTACATAATCTACATATAATTATGATAAATTCAGTAAAATATAAGTGGCTATCACATGGTTTGAAAGACATGAAAATGAATTAAATTATACATGTATGAACAATAAGAAACTTTTCTGTTATTCTGCTTAGAAAGTCTTATCCTCAGAGAGTGTGTGAGTGAGAGAGAGTTGGGTGTAACACCCAACAGTATTCACGTTGTATCACGGTGTGTCAGCTTGATGTGGAAGACCAACGAGATGCAGGTCCCCGACATTTATCACTCTGGTGAAACCAACATAACACTATACCCAGGTCTTGATGGATCCTACTAGTATTAAAACCCATGCATGCATCATTGCTGTCAAGCATGTTGGAATATTATTTATCAGTATTTCGTCAACTTACAGTAAAAAATAGAAATTAATCTCTCGGATAATGTTTAAAGAACATCATGACTAGAGCATGTGAATTGTTATAATGTTAACTGGCATATAACCAGAGTGTAGAGCTCCTGGATGTAGACCTTCTGATGAGCTTCAGGGGTGAGAGTCGGGGATATTCCTTCATCAGCAACTACTCAGCTGGGTATGTTATCAGTCGTTTCTCCATTCCTCATCAGACCTTTACCACAAGAATAACTACATCAGAGATAGGTACAACCGGTGCTCTGCCCACCATCTAAGCAAACTGTTAAATAGCAAAACCACTGTATCATGTAAACTTAAAAACATGCTTTCATTTCCTCATGTTTCCTGTCAGTGCATAGAACACCATTGATTAACTGTTCATTATTTGAAATATGTAGCAAATATTTGACCCAACCATGACAAATCAAACAGAGTTCACTACCATAAGAGTATAGAATGAAGCAAGTTGACTTAAGCATACTGACAACTATCACTGTTCAATGATAGTAACTCACAGTTGTTAATAAATGGTGGACATCACCATTCACTATCAGTCCATCAACAACAGACCCTTATCGTCTATCATAATCCTAGCTGGTCAAAAGGACATTATGATACTTTCAAACTTTATGCAGCTGAAAGAAAATTAAAATGTGCTCATAGAAAAGAATACTTGCCATTTTCATTGGCAATCCGATGAAAGGTCATTGCTGGCTGCAGTGAAGATATCGGGAAAGAGACAATCAAAATGTTCAATTATGCTGTAGGCTGATACAGGAAAGTATTCCCATACTTGTTAAATAGAACATTGGACTATTCTGGCCCCTGCTGACTAATACCCCCCAATAATATGTCAGTTTCTACAGAGTCGCATACATGCATCATGTACGTCACTGGCCCTAGTTGGACTTTCTCTACAAAAATAGGGTAGTCATCACAGACTGGATGGACATCTTGAATCTATATACAGTGAAGAGTGTGTGAGATGGACTTAATGCTGCTATGAATGGTATTTTGAATGCCTCTCTATTTCAGCTGGAACCATCTTAGTGACACACATTCAGTACAGCATTTGTGTTTCTCAGGATATAAAAATAGATATTATTTCAGAGGTTTTTAAGACACAAAGTAAAAATTAAACTATTACTTGTCTTACAATGCATACCATTCCTAGGTTCTCATACCAAACACTAAACATAACCAGTACAAAAGATGTGTCAATTCTCCTTAGTCCTGCTTGCCATCACAAGATTAACCTACTGTGCCAAAAGATAAGCACATCTTACAAGATTGGAGCATGCAGGAGTAACTTCACCCTGTACACATGTACACCATGTCATAATTACTTCATGGATATGCCATTTCTGATCATAAGTGCCTCACACATGGAATCAACAAACATTCCACAAAGTTTTTGCATAAAACATATGATACGATTATCATTCAACAATATAAGGTGTTTTTAGTACACTGGAGACTCCCCCGATCCGATTATGCAACAGAAACTGTTCTTGACTTTGCATAACTTCAAGTTCAAGCATTAACAATTCTTGTAAATTAATCACTCATCACAAATAAAAGCACTTGCAACTGATTATCAGTTTGGTAATTTATGTTATCCTTTGCTTTTAAAAGCAAAATAAACAACTGGAATTTATACAACTTTCTGTCCTTAGAGGACACGTCTTCAATCAGTATGGAGCATACAAATGGATGGCAATGTCAAATGTCAAGCTGAGTACTGAAAACCTTGTCTGTTCATTTCTGTAATGGCCATTATATTTTTCAAATAGCTCTTTTTGTTCTGAAGTTCCTGTAGATAGATCTGTAGTATGCTCAACACATTGGAAGGATCAAAACAAATTGAAGGAACAATCAATTCATTTCTCCAGTATAAAAACACAATTGAGTCCGGTGGCAATGTCGTGACATCACTGTCACAGGTGTTCCTGTGAAAAATTTCAGCACCAAGTGCCATCATGTTTACAACTCGACTCCACGCACGAATTTGTCTCTAATGTTAGTTTGATGGCTGCTGTGTACCATCTCATCTTCTCACAAACACCATCTTCCAAACACATCCTGGCCTTGTCAACTGTCAATGCTCAGTCAAGATACTGATAACCAGACACACATTTCAGGTACACAGGTCCACTGGACAAAGAGTCTTTGCCGAAAACATCATGTTACCACCATCACTTCCTGCCAGCAATATATATGCTCTTCACCTGTCTTTCCATTCACTCTGGTCCACTTATTAGTATAATCACTTGTATTATGCATCATCAAACTTGGCCAGAGTTGACTCCAGCTTCTGTGTTATCTGAAAACAAGGACATGAGAGTGTTACAGGAGGAGTTTAATGCCACTTTGAACAGTATGACATTGTATTATTGTCAGCTGGGAGGCAGGCCCTAAGAGATGTAGATCTGATGTACCAAACGGTAGGGTTCATGAATCTGGAATTCATCTACTGACCAATTTGCTGATTGTGGCAGCTAGGTATCAGCAGTGTACCAGCAGCATAGAGCAGTCACATTCAGATGATCATCAAACACCACCTAACTAAAGAGGTAGCAGCAATGACAGGGGTGGGATACTAAGAAAGGAGGAGCCCACAAATTAACAATGGAGTATTTGTAGTACACAGCCTCATTATGATTTGATTATCAATCAGAAAATGTATACAATATGAAGATCTGAAAGTTACCGTTTTAAAGAAGTTGATTTGTTCCTGCAGGTAGCTCTTGGTCATTTTCTTGAAATCAATGACCCTTTCCTTCTGGAAGTGGTTCATCTCAGCCAGTGTTCCATAAGAGATGATGTCTGCCTTCTGCATGACATCCTGCACCTCTTTCTCTCCCATCTTCCCCTCATCTTGTAGCTTCTGACACTCCTTTGCCTTTCCAATGGCTCCCTAATGGAACAAAGACATGAAATGTACCTACAGGCTCAAAACATTATCAAGTAAGTTCTGCAAATGAACTACAGCAACCACATCATGACATCTTGTGGACAGTATTTCAGTCCCATCGTTGTCTGAAGTGAGATTTACAGACTTACTAGTTCTTCCTGTAGTGGACAATATGAGTAATACAGTCATATCACAGTTGTCTGAAGTGAGATTTACAGACTTACTAGTTCTTCCTGTAGTGGACAATATGAGTAATACAGTCATATCCTAGCTGTCTGAAGTGAGATTTACAGCCTTGCTACTTCTTCCTGTAGTGGGCAATATGAGTAATACAGTCATATCCTAGCTGTCTGAAGTGAGATTTACAGCCTTACTACTTCTTCCTGTAGTGGACAATACAAGTAATTCAGTCACATCCTAGCTGTCTGAAGTGAGATTTACAGCCTTACTACTTCGTCCTGTAGTGGACAATATGAGTAATACAGTCATATCCTAGCTGTCTGAAGTGAGATTTACAGACTTACTAGTTCTTCCTGTAGTGGACAATATGAGTAATACAGTCATATCACAGTTGTCTGAAGTGAGATTTACAGCCTTACTAGTTCTTCCTGTAGTGGGCAATACGAGTAATACAGTCATATCACAGTTGTCTGAAGTGAGATTTACAGACTTACTAGTTCTTCCTGTAGTGGACAATATGAGTAATACAGTCATATCACAGTTGTCTGAAGTGAGATTTACAGCCTTACTACTTCGTCCTGTAGTGGACAATATGAGTAATACAGTCATATCACAGTTGTCTGAAGTGAGATTTACAGACTTACTAGTTCTTCCTGTAGTGGGACAATATGAGTAATACAGTCATATCCTAGCTGTCTGAAGTGAGATTTACAGACATACTAGTTCTTACTGTAGTGGACAATATGAGTAATACAGTCATATCACAGTTGTCTGAAGTGAGATTTACAGCCTTACTAGTTCTTCCTGTAGTGGGCAATACGAGTAATACAGTCATATCACAGTTGTCTGAAGTGAGATTTACAGACTTACTAGTTCTTCCTGTAGTGGACAATATGAGTAATACAGTCATATCCTAGCTGTCTGAAGTGAGATTTACAGACATACTAGTTCTTCCTGTAGTGGACAATATGAGTAATACAGTCATATCACAGTTGTCTGAGTGAATTTACAGACATATCCTAGCTCTTCCTGTAGTGGGCAATTAATACAGTCATATCCTAGCTGTCTGAGTGGAGTATTTACAGCCTTACTACTCTTCCTGTAGTGGACAATATGAGTAATACAGTCATATCCTAGCTGTCTGAAGTGAGATTTACAGACATACTAGTTCTTCCTGTAGTGGACAATATGAGTAATACAGTCATATCACAGTTGTCTGAAGTGAGATTTACAGACTTACTAGTTCTTCCTGTAGTGGACAATATGAGTAATACAGTCATATCCTAGCTGCCTGAAGTGAGATTTACAGACATACTAGTTCTTCCTGTAGTGGACAATATGAGTAATACAGTCATATCACAGTTGTCTGAAGTGAGATTTACAGACTTACTAGTTCTTCCTGTAGTGGACAATATGAGTAATACAGTCATATCCTAGCTGTCTGAAGTGAGATTTACAGACATACTAGTTCTTCCTGTAGTGGACAATATGAGTAATACAGTCATATCACAGTTGTCTGAAGTGAGATTTACAGACTTACTAGTTCTTCCTGTAGTGGGCAATACGAGTAATACAGTCATATCCTAGCTGTCTGAAGTGAGATTTACAGCCTTACTACTTCTTCCTGTAGTGGACAATATGAGTAATACAGTCATATCCTAGCTGTCTGAAGTGAGATTTACAGACATACTAGTTCTTCCTGTAGTGGACAATATGAGTAATACAGTCATATCACAGTTGTCTGAAGTGAGATTTACAGACTTACTAGTTCTTCCTGTAGTGGACAATATGAGTAATACAGTCATATCCTAGCTGTCTGAAGTGAGATTTACAGACTTACTACTTCTTCCTGTAGTGGACAATACAAGTAATTCAGTCATATCCTAGCTGTCTGAAGTGAGATTTACAGCCTTACTAGTTCTTCCTGTAGTGGACAATATGAGTAATACAGTCATATCCTAGCTGTCTGAAGTGAGATTTACAGCCTTACTACTTCTTCCTGTAGTGGGCAATACGAGTAATACAGTCATATCCTAGCTGTCTGAAGTGAGATTTACAGTCTTACTACTTCTTCCTGTAGTGGACAATACAAGTAATTCAGTCATATCCTAGCTGTCTGAAGTGAGATTTACAGCCTTACTAATTCTTCCTGTAGTCGACAATATGAGTAATACAGTCATATCCTAGCTGTCTGAAGTGAGATTTACAGCCTTACTACTTCTTCCTGTAGTGGACAATACGAGTAATACAGTCATATCCTAGTTGTCTGAAAAGTGATTTACAGCCTTACTACTTCTTCCTGTAGTGGACAATATGAGTAATACAGTCATATCCTAGTTGTCTGAAGAGAGATTTACAGCTTTACTAGTTCTTCTTGTAGAGGACAATATGAGTAATACAGTCATATCCTAGCTGTCTGAAGAGAGAATTACAGCCGTGAATAATTTTACAGTCACGTCAGTTCTTCGCGTTGTGTAAATACAATCATGTCATAGCGGTCTAGTTAAAATTAACCACAAGGACATAAAGAAACATTTAGTTAATGTTTTCTTTTCCTTACAAAATGATTAACTGACAAAATAACAATCCTCTGCAGATCTCATATTTCAAATAGAAAATAGAGTAAATGTGTGAGTTAACCTCAACTAGCTACAATGAATGGAAGGCTAAGAGGGGATAGATAGTGTACTACAACACTGACCTCATGGACCTTCACTACATCAGGGTACACATGGAGAATACCCTTGTACTCCCCTAAGGACTCAAACAGTTGCCACGTATCTCTGGATGGCTGAAAGAGAAAAATACATATTTCACTACTTCTTACATGACAATTTACAGTTTATGTTACACCACATGCCAGATGACATGTTACATAACACGCTCCACTACATCTTACATAACAATTTACATTTCATGTTACACCACATGCTGAATGACATGTTACATACATGTTCCACCACATCTTACATAACAATTTACATTTCATGTTACACCACATGCTGAATGACATGTTACATACATGTTCCACCACATCTTACATAACAATTTACATTTCATGTTACACCACATGCTGAATGACATGTTACATACATGTTCCACCACATCTTACATAACAATTTACATTTCATGTTACACCACATGCTGAATGACATGTTACATACATGTTCCACCACATCTTACATAACAATTAACATTTCATGCTACACCACATGCTGAATGACATGTTACATACATGTTCCACCACATCTTACATAACAATTTTCATATGAGAAAATTGAAGGGAATCAACCTGGTGTTTGTTCAAGTGCCTCATGGTTAAGAGTACAGTTGAGATGATTGTATTGACTAACCTGTTCTCCATAAAGGTCTCCGATCTCAGTGTACGTATCTGCAGTATAGTCCATGGCTCCAGTCAGGGCCTGGGAATCTGAAAACACAGGAACTTGCACTGAATGTAACCTACACTGACTTCAAACTGCCCTGCAAGTATGTACCTTACACTATCACCTACACTGGCAAGTATATACCTTACACTATCACCTACACTGGCAAGTATATACCTTACACTATCACCTACACTGGCAAGAATATACCTTACACTGTCACCTACACTGGCAAGTATGTACCTTACACTATCACTTACCCTGCAAGAATATACCTTACACTGTCACCTACACTGGCAAGTATATACCTTACACTACCACCTACACTGGCAAGTATATACCTTACACTGTCACCTACACTGGCAAGTATATACCTTACACTGTCACCTACACTGGCACGTATATACCTTACACTATCACTTACACTGGCAAGTATATACCTTACACTATCACTTACACTGGCAAGTATATACCTTACACTGTCACCTACACTGGCAAGTATATACCTTACACTATCACCCACACTGGCAAGTATATACCTTATACTATCACTTACACTGGCAAGTATATACCTTACACTATCACCTACACTGGCAAGAATATACCTTACACTATCACTTACACTGGCAAGTATATACCTTACACTATCACCTACCCTGCAAGAATATACCTTACACTGTCACACTTACACTGGCAAGTATATACCTTACACTATCACTTACACTGGCAAGTATATACCTTACACTGTCACCTACACTGGCAAGTATATACCTTACACTATCACCCACACTGGCAAGTATATACCTTACACTATCACTTACACTGGCAAGAATATACCTTACACTATCACCTACACTGGCAAGAATATACCTTACACTATCACTTACAAGTATATACCTTACACTATCACCTACCTGCAAGAATATACCTTACACTGTCACCTACACTGGCAAGTATATACCTTACACTATCACCTACACTGGCAAGTATATACCTTACACTGTCACCTACACTGGCAAGTATGTACCTTACACTATCACCTACACTGGCAAGTATATACCTTACACTGTCACCTACACTGGCAAGTATATACCTTACACTGTCAACTGGCAAGTATATACCTTACACTGTCACCTACACTGGCAAGTATATACCTTACACTATCACCCACACTGGCAAGTATATACCTTATACTATCACTTACACTGGCAAGTATATACCTTACACTATCACCTACACTGGCAAGAATATACCTTACACTATCACTTACACTGGCAAGTATATACCTTACACTATCACCTACCCTGCAAGAATATACCTTACACTGTCACCTACACTGGCAAGTATATACCTTACACTATCACCTACACTGGCAAGTATATACCTTACACTGTCACCTACACTGGCAAGTATGTACCTTACACTATCACCTACACTGGCAAGTATTTACCTTACACTGTCACCTACACTGGCAAGTATATACCTTACACTGTCACCTACACTGGCAAGTATATACCTTACACTATCACCCACACTGGCAAGTATATACCTTATACTATCACCTACACTGGCAAGAATATACCTTACACTATCACCTACACTGGCAAGTATATACCTTACACTATCACTTACACTGGCAAGTATATACCTTACACTGACACCTACACTGGCAAGTATATACCTTACACTATCACTTACACTGGCAAGTATATACCTTACACTGTCACCTACCTTTCATCAGATCAATGAAGCATAGCTATATGGTCCTCCTCAAGCTGGAGCCTTCATCAACTACTAGGTACACTGCTATGGTATCATACATATACTTGTCTGTTGTTTACACTGCACTGATGCAAAACTCCAGGTGTGTGATGGTGGTCAGGAGTATGTGGTTGCACCAGATACTCTAGTGGTTGACATTATGGTGAACGTCCCCAAACACTGTGTAAAAGGTAAATTACTAGAGGAATGGCATGGTCTAACAAAAGGCAACTGATAGAAGTAAACTACTCACATTGTCCGCTGTCCAGGGTGAATGATACTGCAAGCTGTTTGAATCCACCTCCTATCTTATGGTACTGGCTTTTGAATCCTGAATCCAGATAACAAACACGATCAGTCTACATTGAAAGTATAACAGAGATTAATATATATAGTGTGTGTTCATACCTGCTTATATTCCACTTGTCTGCATATATGTTTGAACGTCTAATTCACATGGTTGATTTTGAAAGAATGACCCTAAAATCAACCTAGATAACATGAAAAACAAAGTAAAATATGGTTCAACGTATTTCATAATTCCCATGGTATACATGATTCCTGTGTATATATAGAGCACAACTTATCAGTACTTCCTGTCACATTACAAATCTTTATTTGATACTAGTATAAGCGCAGACTTCTCCACCAATTGTATTATGTACTTCTGCATACAAGGAGAGATGTGGAGGCAGTGCTGGACAGCTGGGCCTAACAGAAACACACTTACCACCAGACTGCTTCTTAGCATGTTCATGAAGAACATTCATGAAGGATTTTGTACTCTCCGTCATACTCATTACAAACTTGCAGAGGTTCTCCATCTTAGGTTCTCTGTAACCAGAAGAAAGGAAAGACATGGGTTTGGTGTAACATCCACAATACTGTCGTTTCTCCCATATTGGGTTGACAATGTACACAGTTACTGGCATTGTGCCGAGGGCATGGGAGTAGACAGGACTCAGAAAATCGGCTCGATATACTCACACTTCTCGCAAATCAAGAGGATGTGGTGGGGTTTGTAATAACAGGAAAAATCTTCCTCCTAAATATTAAATATATGTAATTTTTTTGAGTAAAATTGATATTTTATACTTATCCTGACTCATGCTCTTTTGCTTGTCTCCTTCCTCTTGCTTGAACATAGTGGAACACTTGTATCTCCCTAATTGAAGTTCCCTTCAATGTAAAATCACTAATTAGTACACCACGAGTTACCTCCCTTCCACAAGCGGGGGGAGCAGAAGCCACCTCTACCCATGTGCCTCACTCTCTCCTCATATACTGAGCCCAACATTTGAATTTACAGGGAAATCCAAAGTGTTATTTGGGGAGGATGGGAGGGCTGACCTCATGAGTCAGGATAAGTATAAAATATCAATTTTACTCAAAAAATTACATATTTTTCCTTATCCTGACTCATGCTCTTTTGCTTGTAGAATCCTACGGATTGGAGGTGGGAATATATAATACTTTGGATTTTAATAATTAGTGATTTGAACTGTGATGATTGTAATAACCCTATGGGAACTTCATAAAGGCACTGAACTGATGAATTCCTGCTGCTAACTTATCAGCTGCCATATAAAGGTTATTACAATGTACTTATTATGATAAAGTATATATAACATTAATACAATGCTTAAGACTAATAGACTTAAGCTTGTTAATATGCTAGTATAAACTCCTTAGAGTTTGTTAGCTAAATTACTTTAAAATATAAACATAGTACTAAGCTTAAGATATGATTAAACTTAAGCTAATTATATAATAGCAAAACTCTTTTAGAGTTTGTTAGTTAATGTACTTATATGATATAGACATAGTGCTGAGCTTAAGATATAAATAAGCTTTAGCTACCTATATAATAGCAAAACTCTGTAGAGTTTGTTAGCTAATATATTTTTACAATATGAGTATAGTACTGTGCTTAAGATATAATTAACTTAAGCTACATATATAATAGCCAAAACTCTGTAGAGTTTATTAGCTTATAGATTAATAATGTAACCATAGTACTAAGCTTAAGATAAGATTAGACTTAAGCTAAATGTATATAGCAAAAAAAAACTCCTTAGAGTTTATTAACTAATATACTTTTATGTTATAACCATAGTACTGAGCTTAAGATATAATTAAACTTAAGCTATATATATAATAGCAAAACTCCGTGAGAGTTTTGTTAGCTAATACATTTTATAATGTAACCATACTGCTTAAGATATGATGAAACTTAAGCTAATTGTATAATAGCAAAAAACCCTTTAGAGTTTGTTAGCTAAAATACTTATATGATATAAACCTAGTATTGAGTTTATGAAGGAAACCTTAAGCTACATATATAATAGCAAAAACTCCGTAGAGTTTGTTAGCTAATATACTTATATGATATAAACATAGTATTGAGCTTTGAAGGAAACCTTAAGCTACATATATAATAGCAAAAACTCCGTAGAGTTTGTTAGCTAATATACTTATATGATATAAACATAGTATTGAGCTTAAGATTTGAAGGAAAACTTAAGCTACATATATAATAGCAAAAACTCCGTAGAGTTTGTTAGCTAATACAAGTTATAATGTAACCATAAAGCTTAAATTATGATGAAACTTAAGCCAAATATATAATAGCAAAAAACTCTTTTAGAGTTTTGATAGCTAATATACCTATATGATATAAACATAGTACTGCGCTTAAGATATGAATAAGCTTAAGTTACATATATAATAGCAAAAACTCCGTAGAGTTTGTTAGCTAATACATGTTATAATGTAACCATATTGCTTAAGATATGATGAGACTTAAGCCAAATAGCAAAAAACTCTTTAGAGTTTGTTAGCTAATATACTTATATGATATAAACATAGTACTGAGCTTAAGATATGAATAAGCTTAAGCTACCTATATAATAGCCCAAACTCTGTAGAGTTTGTTAGCTTATATATTTTACAATCTGAGTATAGTACTATGCTTAAGATATAATTAAGTTAAGGTAAATATATAATAACCAACTCTGTAGAGTTGTTAACTTATATATTGTATGATGTAATAATCATAGTACTGTGATGATAAAAGAACTTAAGCAAATTATATATAGCATGTAGCTATTTAGTACTGTTATAAGATAAGTAGAAATCTGTAAGATTGACTTATCTTCTCGAGGAACTGTCAACTGTTGTCTGAGGACCATGGGATCGAATTGGTGGATACCTGAGACGTCCTCGGTGATGATATCTCTCAGATAATGGTTGGCAGACCTCCAGAAAATAAACCCTCCATTATTTCAAATAACATTGTGTAGATCAATTGTAGAAGTTAGCGCTCTAATATCATGAGTATTAAAAGCTCATGGAGGGTCGGATTGGGTCCATCCGTCTTGTATGCATGTAGTATGACAGTTCTGATCCAAGCGGAGATATAGTGCGTGAGATTTCATTCTCGTAAGTTGATGATAGAGGAAATAATCTGTTGCATTATTCCCTTCTGTTTGGTTCGGTGGAGATAAATTTACAGTGCTCTTGCTGGCCATCGTGATAGAATCATCGTTATCATGAAGTCCAAGTATGTCATCCAGGCGTGTTCATAAACCTCACTTGTGAGGTGTTGGAACACTATATTCAGATCCCCAAGTTGGAGGGTGAAACTTCCGTTTTAATTCTCCAATCAGAAAGTTTAAGTAGGTTTACTAACCATCTAGTTGTGTTAGTAGCTTGATTATGAAATTCAGCTGTAGTCTGAGGCGCTGTGGATTTAGATCCACTTGTATCCCGTCGTCTAGGTTATTAAGCTCTGCGAAGTCCTTGACGATGTAGGTGCACAACCAGGTGTGTCTGTCCTCGTTGAACTTTATGTAAAATTGCCTGACTGCCGTGCCTCGTCCCTAACTTGACAGGGGAGGTCTCTAACCTGAAGAAAGCAGCCCAATCATGAAGGTTCAGATTAACTGGACTGTAAGGAGGCTTGCTCGTTCACTGATATATAGTTGTCACTTGTAGCGTAAGTCTTGAACTGTGAACTAAGATCGACCTCTGCGTGGAGTCGTTGTCCAACAGCGGTCCAATCAGAACAAGGCATTTTGATTCTGTAGAATACCAGCTGTGATGTCACCGGTGTAGCAGGAAAAACCTTGTATAAAATCTTGCCGTCGTTGATATTAGCATAATCGTCGGTCTTCACCGTAGCTTCGAAGTTACCCGAGTGACCACGTGTTTGAGGGTTAAAGGTAAACGCTTGAAAACCTCCGGTAGCGAAATACCTCGCTCTGTAATATTAATGCTGGGTAGGTTATTTTCCTGGCTGTCGTGAAAGTAACTTCAGTTTTGAATATAATTCCGACTTCCTTATATAAAGGTACAATAAACTTGCAAGTTGTCAGCTTGTAGACTGTATACATGAATGTATCGTCATAATTGTAGAATTAAAGCTGAACTTGTTGTACATATTTCTTCTCAGAAACTTTGGCGATTATGAGTTATACTGGCTGTAACAAGGCTGCTGTTCAATTTCGATATTGAATTGTCTGCAGATCTGCGTAATGGTCACGCATGTAGATAATCGTCGTATCGTAGTCGGGATTGCATATTCTAGCAATCTATCACGGAAAGGTTGATTTCTGTGAAGATCTATGAAGCGTCGTTGACTAATTAATATAGCGGCGTTCTGTGTTGTAAATAGCCTGTGCAATTGTCTTCGCGTAGGCTTATAGGCGGCATATGGCATACAGTTGATAGACAACTTATCGCGATGTCTTGAACGGACTGGCGAGTAGCTATATATGACGCGAGTGGCTAATATATGGAGACCTTGGAGGAGATTTCCTCGGTGGGCCCGGAGACTTAGCGAAGCTCTCGAAGTATCCATTCTAGATTTTCTGTGTGAGGTAGACTTGGAGCCACTTAGCCTTAGCGACCTTCGCGAAGGTATCGAGTCAGAGCCCGATCAGTATATATATAATATATGGCTTGCTTCGCGAAGCGACCTCTGTGTTCAACAGGAGTGAGTGAGTGAGTGTTTTGTTTTCGCCCGCACTCAGCAATATGTGGGGTCGGTGAAGCGCTACTCCTCCGTGGCGTCCCTTGTAACTGGTGAGGCTCTAGCTCCTTCGGCGGAGGTGGCCTGGGACTTCCTTAGCGAAGTGTCTAGAATCCGATCAATATATGGCGTTAGCTTCATACAGGGTGTGGTTCTTGCTGGTTCTGCATAAGTAGAGCCGAGTAGATCATCCTATCATCTTCAGAAGTCGTGTCCGCGAAATCTGGTGATAAGAATCTCATTGATCGTTCTAGATCTATTAAGGCCAAGAACATACGCCTCTGGCGTTTGAACTATTATGGCTTTATGGTAGGCTGTGTCCACATACTGTGGCACCGCAGCAATCGAGTCGTCGGAGGTAAGGTGATGGCGTCTGCCTCGTCTTCCTTTATCAGGTATGTCTGCGCCCGAGTTGCCACTCTTGGAAGGTGAAGAGAGATCTAGGTTGTTTACCATCCAATATCGTATCTCAGCGTCTGAGAAAATGATGCCTCCATCATTTTCTATCCCAGCATCGCTGATGAGAGGTTGATGCTCTTCTGATGGTGGACTGTGTATTTCTATCTCTATGTCGGGTGGCCTTCGGGGAGACCTGACTGTAGACTTGTGTGCAGACTTGTGTGGTGACCTGTGAGGCGATCGGCGTGGTGATGTCTGCGAGGAGATCGGCGCGGTGAACGCGCGGAGATCGTGTTGGTGATCTGCGTCTATGGGTTGACCTTCGCGGAGACCTGTGAGGAGAATGTTGATAGCTTCGCGAAGCTCTTGTGTAGTCAGGTGTCCTTTGCGAAGGCCTTCGCGAAGCTTCCTCTGCGTCCGGTCCTGGGGAACGGCGATTTGACCTTCGCGAAGGCTTCCGTGAGGTCTGATGGTCTGAGTCCGCATCTAAGGATGAAGCCAAGGAAGGTGATGATCTATCCCGCCTTCGCGAAGGCTGTACATCTGGGTCCTTCGTCGAGGTGGTCTGCGACTTCCTTCGCGAAGGTGGCTTCGTCGTGGCTGCTACGCTGATGGGGGTGCCTCTGGGGTGTCGTCTGCGTTGGAACCTTCCAGCGAAGGCTCAGGCCTTGGGCTGGCTGCTTCTCCAGTCTGTAGTGGCCCTCCATCATGATCATGATTTGCGCAACAGTTCATCTGGGATGGTCTGCGGCCGAATTAGTCGGTGCCCTCTCTCTGCGATGTTAGCGGCGGGGCCCTCAGGGAAGTCGTCTGACGTCAGTGTAGAGACCTCAGGCTGCATGGCGATCTCTGCTGATGTCACTGTAGCTGTCTCCGGTCGCTTCTTGTGGCGTACGTCGGGGATGATGATCGGCTGATCATCGTAGAGACCCAGTTCAGCGGCTGGAACAATCTCGGTTGAGAAAGTCCTAGTAGACTTCGTTGATTTCCCCTCAGAGGTCGACGCTGCCCTGGGGGTGCGAAGTCTGCGTTGAGTGTTGGTAGCGACGGGACCCTCAGGAAGAATATCAGCGTTGGTACATCAGGCTGCATGTTGATCTGCGCTGACATCACTGTTGTCGACATCGGTCATTCTTTTGATGTACATCAGGTATGATGATCGGCTGATCATCATACAGGCCCAAATCTGCGACGGGAACAATCTCGGCTGAGAAAGTTCAAGTAGACTTCGTTGATTCCCCCTCAGAGGTCGCGTTGAGATGCAGTAGAAACCCTCTAGTCTTCGGCTGCGACGATGGGATGTCTGGGGAAGCAGGACGCTTCTTGGAGGCGGCGGACTACGTCCCACGCCTCTCCACCACTCTAGCGGAACACCAGACGGGAGGGGGGTCGACCAACAGCAGTAGACTGGCGAGGGGTTCAGGTGTATCAGTCATGGCTAGACTCTGCATACGCGACCTATCTGCTGCGCGTCTCAAACGCAAAGTAATATTTATTAAAGGCAGAATTGGATAAATTAGTACCGCAACTGCAATGTGAATAACATGAAACATGGCGCAGTACAGCTAGGGCATATTAAATCGCGGATCAGCAGCAGAATAAAAAGCGTAATGTGCAACAGTACAGAATTTTTATCAACGTAATCCACTGAAACAACACGTCCCCGTGAATAAACAGTAGAAACACGACTAAATATCAATATATAATTGTTGAAGATACTAGCTAAACCTCTATAGATGTCTATCACGAGGGTAACTAACTAAATATAATCAAAGGATATAGTGTGTCGGGAGACACACAGCTCTCGTCCAGCTCACTGGAAGAAGAAGGAGAGTGAGGCACATGGGTAGAGGTGGCCCTCGTTCAGCTTGTGGAAGGGAGGTAACTTCGTGGTGTACTAATTAGTGATTTTACATTGAAGGGAACTTCAATTAGGGAGATACAAGTGTTCCACTATGTTCGCAAGAGGAAGGAGACAAGCAAAGAGCATGAGTCAGGATAAGGAAAAATAAATTAGAAAACTACCCACAAAGCAATGCCTTACTTTCTCTGTCTTATGTTGATGGTTCTATTTAACAAAACTTGAACAGTACAAATTAATATGAAAGTACTCTATCGTATGTGATGATTTGTCACGCCTGTCCCTTCAAAAGTTGACATTCAAGTTTCATTAAATGACTGTATATATACAAATGTTGTTAAAGGTATCATGTAAATGAGCTTGGGACAAGATTCAAAATTGACCAAACAAGAAGAAAAAGTCAATAATTCCCCTCAAAGGCAAAATACTCTTCATGAATATGTCTATTAGTTATGATCATGTCAAATGTTTTGGCAAAGTGGAAGGAGGGTACTGAAAGGTTTTTAAGTTCTGCTCCAGAAAGGAGCACTACCAACAAATTCAGTGGAAGCCAAACTTGTTGCCATGGGAACGCAAGAACATATTTTAATCAGAATTCCAAAACCAGACCAATCTATGTGACAATATTGGTGAAGAAATATTGTACGTTTGTAAAATTCTGCTCCGGAAAAGAGCACTACCACCTATTTCAATCAGTCAAACTTGTTGCCATGGAAATGCAAAACATATTTTATTCAGAAATCCAAAACTGTCAAAAGGCATCAGTACAGCACCAGATCTATCTATGTTTGGTGAACAAATATTTAATGGTTTTAAAGTTCTGCTTCGGAAAAGATGAATGTGCACTAAGACGGACGCATGGACGGAATCCATTTTAATATCCCCCACAAAACGTTTGACTGTGGATAAAAAATTAATTACATGACCATAGAATCAAATCAGGAGTTAGACGTAATGTTTGATACTATTACTGGTTATTGAAATTCCCAATGTTTCTCATCACATGATTGGAGATTTACAATTTAAAACATCAAAAATTATGTTAAAAATACAATTTAACATCAACAGATCTAATGAAAAACTCTTTGGATTTAGAAAGTACCGACATGATAAATTTAACAAAATAATCAGCAGTTGTTAAAATTAAGCATCAAAGTGAACAAATCTTTGTCCTTATTCTCTAATGTTAAAAAAAGTATCATTTAAAGGTCTAAACCTAAAAATCTCAATGACCCATAAGTTATGTATTCTGATTACTCTTGACAATGAGTAACAAACATAGCCCTCCTCTGTCTATTAATCTTGTAAAAATTGTTGTGCTGGGAAGGAGAGTGGGGCCATTTGTGTCTGTGCTGGGCAAGTGTGATGGATGACAGGTAAACAATCATCCTGACAGTCACTCATTGACTTTTACTTCGTCATTTACTATGATGTGGAGCAAATATTGTGTGGCAATGACAATACAAGGTCACAGATTATAAGGAGCATGATTCGCGATTCGCGATTCAAGCAAAGCAATACACATGGGGGGTTCTGTCTAATTGGAGGTAAAAATCAAACCTGTAATTGAACTGAAAACTGGAACTGGAAAATAATAATAATATGAACATTCATAACTTTGGAAAGGCCAAAGGCAGACCCAGTTGTGGCAAATGTGTGTGCGTGTGTGTGAGAGCATGTGTGTCTGTGTGAAGTCACATTATGTACACACTAAGGTGCAATTTACGTCATGGCGGCTCCTGGGTACCACTAACTGGTCATAAACCATGCCTGATAATACATCTATTATATAAAGGAAACTACCAGTATGGATTGTCCAGTACAAATAGAGAAAAAATGTTCATATGTGGCACATGCTGGGAAATATTCCTAATATCTTCACGTATTTACTGTATTGATTCTAAGTTTAAAATTATATACAAATGCAATGAATATATTTTACTATTCATTAAAACATTTAAATATTTAAATGTTATGAATATCAATGTTGTGAAAAAATAATAACATGTCATATTATGTGAAAAACACATAGAGTGTTTAGGTCTTACATCAATAATCCAAGGGGAATCACTCTAACTTGTTTTCACATGATGAAAGAAAACAGACTATATTCACATTTATCACAAAAATTCCATCACATCTGTAATCATATTCAAAATCTATCACTATTTCTATACTATTCACAGGCATCATATATTGAAAAGTTCATGGAAGACTAAAACCAATGAAAAGCAATTCAGACTTTAGAAGGAAATACTACATGCGTGTTTAAAAGGCCCAGCAGGTGCTACTACTTGGAAGATGTAAATGCCTGTGTAAATTACGGATTTGTGGGGAAATCCTGCAGAATTACCCTAAATCATTCTCACTAATGAAGTATCATCAAAGGTAAGGTACATGCTGACATTTATTATTCTACCAAGACATCTCAAATTCCCCAGAGCTATGGAATCTACATCTAGTTAAGATAATCGTCTTGTTGACAACCCTATTGCCTCAAACAAAAACATCTTTTCATAAGCACATCTTTCGAAAATTCTTTTAGAGCTGCGAAATAACCTGTTGCAGTTCCTATATAAATCAAGCAGAAATCATGATGATCAATAGCAAAGACAGTGTACTGAAAAAGTTAGTACATTTACACAGCTTGACTTTGATCCTATTCAATCACATACTGTGACCTCATGGCTATAGCATCACAGTGCTTGTGTTTCCCCTGTTAAGAAATTTATGACATCATCAAAGTGGTGTACTTTAGAAAAAGCCTTGATTGAGCTCACATGATATGAGCCTAAGTGAACTGATTCTGTCTCACTGACTTTGAATGTCACTGACGTGGTTCCAGTATTATAGTGAAACTTACTGTCTTTATACATAAAGCTAACATGTAATGCTGATTTTCCTGATTTCAATCTTTCCACCAGCTGAAACTATTGGGTTACACCAATGTCACATCTCAAATCACCTCCATTATGGCCTTGGTTTTGGTAATCATGCTATGGTAGAATAGACTGACTGACTTTGGTTTTACGCCGCTTTTAGCAATATTCCAGCAACATCATGGCGGGGGACACCAGAAATGGGCTTCACACAATGTACCCATGTGGGGATTCGAACCCGTGTCTTCGGCGTGACGAGCCAACGCTTTAACCACTAGGCTACCCCACCGCCCCTATGGTAGAACAGAGAAAAACATAGTTTGTTTTCTATGTAAAATTCTCATACAATTTAATGTCTGTAAAGATTCTTAATTCAAAACCTCAAACTACTAATACTATATTGCTTTTAAGTTTTATACATTGTATATATACTCGAAGTTCAAGTTTGATATCAATAATTTGAAAACACACTTCATTTATCTCCTGAGTGGAACAATAAGGATGCAGTAGAACCATATGAGCAACAGACGGCACGACAGACATGTTGCACAAGCTGCTGCACAAACAAGCAACTCTTGATCGAGGCACATGATGGAACAGAACACCTCCCCTTGGGCTGTGCTGGTCAGTGTGGGGACTCACCAGATATTGCCTTGTCAGGGAGTGGTGGGATAGGGATGCAGGGAAATTTTTCTTCCAGCCTTTCATGTAGCCAGTCAAAGTGTTTATACCTTCGACTGACCTGAATACCATTGAACTGAAAAAATAGAAGTATTTCATAAGTAGTACATCAAAGAGAAAACGAAAACTACGATGCTATAGAGATAATATGTAAAACAATGGTCCAATGCATTTTACTGACCAATCATGATGGTTAGAAGTATTTCACTGAAGCAACAGAACACTGACGAATTTGACATACTAAAATCATGACTGATTCAGATATACACCAACTTGTTTCCACTTATATATAGTATCCTGAACAAAGTTTTGTAATACATATCATATCTGGACTTCAGTGTGGTGTTCAAGCCAATCTTCTTTACAGATTGTCTCCCTTTCATTAGAATGCTGATATACATCTATCTACTCATGATGCTATCTCCAAGTTATCACCGAAGTGTGAAATCAGCTTAAAACTGGAACAAAAGTAATCATAAAATTGCACAAACTTCCTGAGAATGTTAGTTGGTACCTATTCCAGGACATAATAAATCTAAGACCATCTATACTACTCACTGATGGAGTTATCTGGTATGCAATATAACTTTTGAGTCCCTTCATTTTACTCTCCTTCTTCGGAGATGCCACCTCACATGTGTACTGGGTCTGTATTGGAGTCCACTCCGGCCCATCGGCTGTTTCCTGAAATACACAACCACAAGTTACATCATCAACACCAGCTTGACTTGAAATACTGAATCCGAACTATTTAAAAAAAGGTAATTTTTTAAGTAAAATTGATATTTTTATACTTATCCTGACTCATGATCTTTTGCTTATCTCCCTTTCCTTTTCGAATGGTAGTGGAACACTTGAATCCCTTGAAGTTCCCGAAGCAGACGTATAAATACACTCACCCACGAGTTACCTCCCTTTGCCCTTTCCTGCGCAAACCAGTCAGGTGACCTGCCTTACTTGTCACTCTCTCCTGATTTTCTGCCCATGCACTTGGATCTGCTGTGAAATCTCAAGTGTCTTCAACGGGGAGGTTGGGAGGGCGTCTCGTCATGAGTCAGGACAAATACCAAAATATCAAATTTACTTAAAAAATTACATATTTTTACTTATCCTGACTCATGATCTTTTGCTTATAGAAGCCGACAGATTGGTGGTGTGTCAAGCCACTTTGTGGATTCAACAGCTGTTCTTAGATACGTCCTGTATTCCCCCCATGGGAACTGCGAAACGGCATTTCTGTGGTCCTATTCTTCCAACTTCCGTTATAACTAGGGGGGACCACTTTCTTGTCTTACTTCAATCTCAGACAAGTTGAATCATGTAGATTCATGTGGCTATAGATAAACTAGTATCTTTCTATTACTAGATATCTTATAACAACCCATAGATTATGATAAGATCTTTATCATAAATGAGTTGCGACCCCCTTCACGTACAGGTAAGATCTTTACCCGTACAGGATCTTTAATCACTCATGCTAGCCTGTGCTAGACTGTGCGCATGGACTTTCAAACTAGTACTTTTCCTTAATAAAAGTTATCAACAAGTCAACGTGATAAATAAAGGGTGAGATTTTCCAACTCAGCGCCTTTGAGGAACTGTTAGTTGCTGTGCTACAACGAGAGGCCCAAATTGCTGAATGCCTGAGACGTCTTCAGTGGCTATGTCTCGGAGGTAGTGGTTGGCAAACACCGTGTCCGGCTTCCAAAAGCAGCCCTCCATAATTGTTGGTGTTTTGGAAAGAAAGATAGTTTCTTTGTTTTTTTGTTATCTCATAGCCAAAAAACATCTTTACAAGAACCATGAACGTTGCATCAAAACGCAACCGTAACGCCTTGTGCAGTCACTTTCTGCATGTGCAGGGTCGAGCACATAGGTTTCTGACGGCTAAGTGGATGGTCGACAATTTTGATCAGTGAGACTCTGGTCGTAGATTACACACATAGTTTGCCATATTCGGGCCTAGTATAGATACTAAACAATTTAGAATTATAGTTGTGTATCTTATCAGATAGCTTATTTAGTTCATGTAGTTTAGAAGAAGTATCATATTTAGTTTGGTGGTCGGAGTGGCAAAAGTATCATATTTAATGGTCGGAGTGGCAAGAATGTTGTTTATTTACCATTTAGGTAAGCACGTTTCACGTTCACAAATTATTTTAGTAATTCCATTGCATAAACAGTTGGTATAGAGCAATTTCCGTGCAGAGCCAGTGTTGACGCCAGTGCTCTGACTTCGTGTGGGTTGGAAGCTCTAGGAGGTTCTAGTCCTGCTGCTTTATAGGCTCTCAATATAATGGCTCTCATCCAGAACGATATGGTCGTTCTTGAGATTTCTGCTGAAGTCTCTGTGGATAATGGGATGAACAGGCGCTTCTTTTGAAGATATATCTTCAGGGCTCTGACCGGACACAAGGATAAGTCCTCTATATCCTGTGGACCGAGGATTGTAGACAGCGCTGGTACGTGGAACTGTCTATCTGGTTGACCAGGTAGCTGGTTCTTGGCAATAAAGTCCCATCTAAGTCCTAGATGAACTGCATTATGTTGCCCTCTGTCGAATCTGGTTCGACCAAAGTCCAGCGCAATTACTAAATCAAATTGTTATCTCTGCCAAAAAACATATCAATTTATGTAATATAAAAAAATCAATTCCAAAATTCAGTAATGATAAAAAGGTATTAAAAGAGATATTTTCTGTCGAAAAATTTATTTCAAAGAGAAACAATGAAATCGAGAAATTCAATCTTAAATGGAATTCGCTCATCCCAATATTCAGCAACTAATTATTATTATATCTCTACAGCAATGTATCTTCACCTTTTCTGCGCTTGTTGCTACCATATACCGTTGTTATTGACTTTGTAACCATGGGAACAAATAAATAAAAAAAAATTTAAAAAAAAAAAGTCCAGCGCATGTATCTCCGATATTCGAGCTGCCGTGGCTAACGCAAGCAGAAACAGAGTCTTCTGTGTTAGCAGCTCCAGTGTAATCTGGTCTAGTGGTTCGTAGACATCACTGGTAAGATGACGTAGAATTACATTTAGATCCCAGGCTGGAGCTCTGAATTTCTTTGGCTGGTCCTCCAGCTTAAAAGATCTCAGCAGAGCAAGTAATTCTGGTACTTTCGTTGATGCCTGTTTTCATGGTAATCACTGTACTGATAGCAGTGAGGTATGTAGATAATGTCGAACCCTTGAGATGTCTGGTCTGTCTGAAATGACACAGATATTCCGCCACTTGAGGATGAGTGGCTATCATTGCAGTGAAGCCTTTCCGTCTTGCATAAGTCTCAAACTTCAGCCACTTGTCGTCATATAGGTTACGAGTCGATCTGCGTAACGCTAGCGTTACTGCTTTGGCTGCCCTGGCGGAGTATCCTCTTTTCTTCAAGCATGTTTTGATACGGTCCACACGTGTAACTGGAATATTGTGGGGTTTCCGTGGACTTGCTTGGTGTGAGGATGTATTAGTAGGTTCGGCCAATCTGGTAATTTGATTACTGGGTTTCCAAGATCTTCTATTAGGTCTGGGAACCATGCTCTCACTGGCCAGTAGGGCGCGACCAAAGTCAGTTGTAGCGTCTGTGTCTGTTTGATCTTGAACAGTACTTTTGGCAGTAGTATCGGGGATGGAAAAGCGTAGCCGTTTAATCCTTCCCACGACATGCTCAGTGCAGCATACTCAACATAGCACCAGTATTATGAATTTCAGCAGTAGCAATCAACATACGGTTTGAAGGCTGATCTCCTATTTTATCAGCTGTGACTTAAGATGACTTCCTCACCTGATCCATGGCACGTCTATAGATTTAAGACAAATATTGATTAAAATTAGATTTGATAAATCAACACAATAAGTACAGCGCAAGCTGGAAGAACATGGTTTGATGCACGAAGGGCATTGGGGGTGAGGATCAGCCACGGATAACCTGTGCCAGCAAACACTGCAAGATTTCATGAAATGTAAACAAAGTTGCATCACGATGAAATTATCACACAAATACAAATATTTTTTAAAATTTTTTTACATATAATACAATATAGTTATAGCCAAATCAATACACAGTGTAATTTTGAAGAATAGGACGTAAATAAAAAGGATATAATGCCGTATACAGGACTCCAGTGCTCACCCAACCATCCACTTGGGCGAAAAGGGAGAGAGTGACAAATATGGCTGGTCACATGACTGTTTGCGCGGGAAAGGGCAGAGGGGAGGTAACTCGTGGGTGAGTGTATTTTTACGCCCGCTTTGGGAACTTCAAGGGATTCAAGTGTTCCACTACCATTCGAAAGGGAAAGGGAGATAAGCAAAAGATCATGAGTCAGGATAAGAAATCTTTCATATCTTTTAAAGTCATAATTTTTCTAATTGTAACAGAGATCTTGTGTGTCTCTATTAGGAACACCTTCGTGTATGTAATCGCTGTAATGTAAAAAATTCCTTAAAGCAGAAAGTGGTAAAGCAGATAACTTTACACAGAACAGATCTGTAGGACATTTCACTGACCCTTCTTGTGCTCTACACAATCAGTATTCTCAGCAACACTGCCATGATCTCAATAAACTAGGAATTAGCATCTACAAATGATTGTGAAGGGCCAGGATATGAGAGTTACTATCTGAGGCAGTCTTACAATCATCCTGATGAGGTCACTCTCTGCCACTCGTGTGTTGCCTGTGTTCTGCCCCATCATGAAGGCCTCGCCTCCTGACTTGGCAAAGTGAGACCATCTGGGAAAATAACACCAGCATTAGTCAGCTGATTTCATTTTCAGCATTACTGTCAAGACAATTATCTCATTCAACTATCTTGCCACGCTTTCTTTTAGAAAATAACACACAATAATCATGACAATGGGTCACAAGAACAAGCTACAAACAACTCCACCTACTGACCACTATACATGTTTAATCCATAACCCTTACCGAGACACTCCACATACAAACCGAATTCCCTAATGGAATGATATGATACATTTTCCTATAGCTTGTATGATTAAGTTGTTAAGTAGTTATTCTTACCTATTAAAACTGCTCTTGATGGTACCATATTTGGACATTTCAGAGGTGGGAGAGTGGGCCTTGTGTTCCCTTCTTGGCACTGACAGACCAAATGACCCTGTACCTTGCAGGTCCTACAACAAACAGTCACCAGATGGTTGAAGGTGCAGCTATGGCAAGTCTGTTATATGAGCTGTAACCTGACAATGGCTATGAACAGCATCATATAGTGACACACAAAGCACATGTCTGAGGCAGCTTTCCTAAACCACCATACATGAGTGGATGTCAACATCACCAAGAGATGTGACCACATTCCTCAACGGAAAATGTTTGATAGAATAATATGCCTGTGTAAATGCATGGAGTAGGTTTGTTTTACATGTTATTGGCGCTTTTGCTATCTAAATGTGACTTATTTAATAGCTGAAAGGTTTTGCACTACACACACACAAATTTAGAAGAAATGTGGTGGTGTGTGGTCCTGTGCACAGAGTTCAGGTCACAAATCAGTTTAAGTTAAGCAACATTGAGTGCAGAAAGTCCTTGGAAGGGTGACTGTGTTTGGAAGCTTGACTCCTGAAGTTTCAAGGACTTCAGAAACCACACCGATCACCCTTGCATTCCTAATGTTGTACTGGTACCTGATTTGCCCCTCCAGTGGTGCTATTGCTGGATTGATCATCATCATCATCGTCCCAGTCTTCGTCCCATTCATCGTAACTCTGCTGCTGCTGCATGCCGCCATGCTGACCATGCTGGCCATTCTGGCTGTACCCTCCTCCACCCCATCCATTGGCAGCTGGGGTCAGGTCTGCGGGACGGCTGGCAGGGACGGTAGCTGGGATGGGCACGGGTGGGGGTGGGAACTCTGGCTCGGGTATTGACACCACCTGAAACATTCACAATGATCAAGAATACTTTGTGCTAGTATTGGGTCATGTTCAGAGGATAACCCTACTCCAAATTCTCTCTTCACAATTGGTTTGAAAATATTTACCTAAAGGAAACACTGCCATTTACATGCACACATGCACATGGAGAACATTCACTATACATGGACAACATATATTGCTCTGACCTAAAACAGGGACCAATGTGTTTTTAGGAAGGGTGCCATTGGGCACCAGGCAGATGTGAAACTAAGGGAGCCCATACCTTTATATGATACAGTTAAACTTAAACATCACAACAGTAATGTCAACTTATTGTTTAATGGTGTGTATTATTTTGTGTGTGTGTGTGCGTGCGTGCATGCGTGCGTGCGTGCGTGTGTGTGTCTCTCTGTCTGTCTCTCTGTCTGTATGTCTGTCTACATTTGTGTATATATCTGAAACGGTCAACAGGTATTTGATGGTTATTTATAGTTTCATGTTATGAATATACTTGAAAGTGTTTCATCTACACAGAACCTCATTAATGCATGAGAAGCCCCGGTGAAGATGGAGCAAAGGTTGACCTGTTGTGTAGTCCCTTGTACAAGTAGTACAACATTACATCCTCCACTGATCTGGATACCAGCAATGCCATGGATACTGTGACTCACCTCCAGGTATGACTCCGGCACAAGACCTTGTTCCCCTCTGGAATTCTTGGCCTCCCACCATCCTTCTCCAATATCCTACAACAAATGTGGTCTCAGTATCAAAACCTATCACCAAAAATCTCAGCAGTGTGTGCCCTAAGTATTCTCCTTAACTTCTTACCTTAACAGTTAGTCAGTACATATGCATCTAGGCCAGCTCATTGAGCAAATGATAATTTGAAAGTTATCAAATTTCCTATTAAATTCTAGTTAAGGATCCATATGGGCATCTGAATAATTGATCTAGAACACCTGGTGAAATATTTGAAGTGTTTTGTTCAGCTGCTAGCTCGTTGCTGATTGGTTGTGCCCAGACACTTACCTGTCTCAGCACATAGACTGTCTCCCCTGCGGCCAGGGTAAGTTCTCCATTTTGTGTGTCCCCCTCGAAGTCATAGAGGGCATTCGCCTGGAAATATGATCAACATGAGGAACTATAAACACGAGCCACAAGAAAAGTGAACTTATTATTTAAAAAATTATTTAAAATGTAAAATTGTTCAATCTTTTTTTCTGAGATATGGTACAAATTCAATTGATCCTTGTATCCCTTGGCATAAATGGAGCTACAGTAGTACAGGGTGTGAATGTCTCCATTCGGCAGTATGTCCCAGATATATTTCACAAATGGCAGAAGAGAGGGATTAGTGTAAGCCATAATGCCTGCACAAGGTCTTACATACACTTGGACATTTGGGAATCAGGGTGACTTACAGTAAATATCTTTTGTGAGTCATTTTTTCAATTTGTGAGTCATGAAAACATTTTCGTCAAAAAAGCAAGAAATAAGAAACCCTGCTGCAGCCCCGAGCCATGGTGAGCCTGACTGCAGCCTGAATGGATCACACTGCGAGGATTGACTCAGGGACCTCTTTCTGCTAATGAAACTATGGTCATTTGCCTTCCAGTTATTTTAACTACACCATGCAGTTACCATGCATACACAAACAGAAATAGTGTTCTTAAGTTAAATAAATGATACATCATGTCATACATAAAACGTTACCCTGACATTGATAAGTATAAACAATTACCAAATGCACAGATATGTTTCCAGTATAAGAAAAATTACAAGAGCCAAGGGTACAGAGATGTGCCATGTGTAACATACAGGAGGACCTATATGTGGTTGTACAGGGAAATGTCAGTGCGGTCCAGTGATGCCAGGCTCTCTAAATGTGGGGTGAGGGGATAGGGGCGTACAGGCATTCAGACAGTAAACAGTCTGGCCATGTGGAGGGGATGGAGGATAATTCCATTTATCTTATGAATCACACAGGAAGAGTCCATTCAACAGTCATGCTGCAAGCACATGGGTAGCAATATGGCATAACTACCGAATTTATTACAATAAGAACACCTTTCGAAAACAAACAAAACAAGATTTAAAAAGTCTAACTGTACAAAATGCTGACTGATGAACAAATTTTGCATAAAAATATATTTTAAGTATGTCCCACAAAATGATTTCAGTTGTGTTAGTGCAATGACCAGTAATTTGTACTGTGACATCACTTTCCAGAAAGATAAAGGCAAGAGTGAGTGAGTTTGGTTTTACGCCGCTTTTAGCAATATTCCAGCAAAATCCCAGCGGGGGACACCAGAAATGGGCTTCACACATTGTACCCATGTGGGGAATTGAACCTGGGACTTCAGCGTGACAAGTGAATGCTTTAACCACTAGGCTACCCCACGGCCCGAGAAAGGCAGGAAGGCTTCATGAAGTGACACAATCATATTTTGACACAACATGGCAATAAAGACACAAAAACTGATCACAAACAGGAAAATTCAACATCTTCAACGTTTTTTGTGTTTTTCCTCTCAAATCATATGATGCGGAGATACATTCAATCTTAAGTTTCTCAGTGTAAATCACTTTCATCATTCCTAAGAAACTTCAAATCATGTTAATTATGATTATACATAGAATTATTTCAACAAGCTAAGGAATAACTATGGTAAGCATGGTAAGTTGCTGTCCAATCTGCTTCCTGTTATTAATGTGATCAAGTGCAATCATTCAATCATGTGGTCACCAAATGGCCTAGTTTGTGCATCTGTAAGTAGAAAACTAGGGCATTGTCATGATGAAAGGCATGGGGTTGGGGGGTTGGGGGGTTGGTTTAAAAAAGCCAACAATGGATGAGGCCTGTAACATCAGATTTACTTTCACATGCAATAATAATAAGACACTATTTCCTTCCTGTGTCAATACCGGTTCCTTCTCATCAACACACATCAGGATAGAGATCACTGTTTCTCTCAAGTTAATTCTATACAATAATATTTAGCATCTTTTTACCATGGTAATGTTGCACAATAAAGAAAACAACATGTTGCAAAACAAAATCAAAGAAAAAACAAAACATTGCATAATTTGGCCATGATGTTGCAATTGATAAACTCTGCAATGAATAAAATGGAATTTCCACAAAGTCATGCTATGATGACAGGTGTATTATACCAGCCTGAGCTATGAATGCTTCAGATGTGAGTTTGATAGTTTATCAATGGAGTGGATGCATTTACCAAGTTTTATAACCTCCTTCCCATACGCTTCCCATGAAAACACGATTGAATAATAATAATGACTTTGAATATTGCTGATCATGCATGTTTAAGCTTCAATTTACCACTTGTTGAGATGAATTGGAACTATGACAATTGATTACAGAGTGCAATCCGGCTGCAACTGGTGCAAGGGTACTGTGACACAGTTTATTCAACATTCTACTGTAGATAAGCATAACCAGCCTAAGCTAGCTGACATGACACTCATATAAATAAATGTTACACTTGTAGTTTATGACAAGGTCAGCCGTATTTCTACTTAAACCATCTAACATACACTCATAATGGCAATGTCGACTACATCCACTTCATCTCATATTGAATATGTTTATTAATGTTAAATAAAACAAAACACACAACACGATCTGTTATGCTCCTGCATAAATGTACACATGCATGTTGACTTGTTGGTGTTTGATAGGTAGGGTGTTGACAGTAAGCTTCAAGTGCCACCAACACAGCAGTAGAACTACCCTAACTAGGAAGTAGATCAGCTGACTCATGTCATTGTTATATGAACAATCAAAGTCCACATTACTTGGACTGATCAAGGTCATTTCTTATATTAGTGGAACTTGGATCCACCACTTCAAACTGACAAAAAGGAAGACAGAGATACCAACCTCATAGTCGCTACGCATTTTAGCCTCAAACTACGCCAATACGACTACTCTAGAAATTCTACGAAATGTCAAGAAAATTCCTTAAAATTCGGATATATAGACCAAATATATTTTCGTCGATTGAATACATTTTTGCCAAAAAGACACGACAAGAAGAAATGTAATGCTGATAATTTGGAAATCTGCTGTTGGAGGTATGTGAAATTAAAGCTTCGCTCTTAATTAGTTTCATGATATCTTTCTCAGGATCCATCATCACTTTAAGTATTTCAGTTGACTACTAATTTTATGGTCAAACTACTAATTTAGATCCTTGAAACTACCATCTGCAACCCTTTGAGGTTGGCATAAAGAAAGTCATAAACCCTTTTCTATCTGTTAATCCTATCAACATGATAAATTAATTACAGATATAACCAAAAATGTCTCTGCAGTATCAACAGTAATTCTTTGAAGCTCACTAATACATGCAGCACATTTTGTGTATTTCAACAGGTGACCTATGACTGATACAACCAGGGCTAGCACAAACTCGTGTTTTCTTGTAAACCAAGTAATATAGGAAGCCATGGACACTGATTATGGATGGCAAAGCAACTATGAAACAAGTAATAGATAACATGTACGCCTGTGGAAACATTACCTGTGGTGACCATGGTGATGTCCTTTGATATAACCTGATCTTAGAACAATCAGTATGAAAACATTCATTATAATCTAGTGTGTGACACCTCTACAGTATTTCAGCAGGGTTTTCTGCGACACAGAAATGTGTGTCTAGTACGCTCAAATGTAGAGTCAATGGACGCAGACTAGAGGGATGCACAATATCATTCACTGTACCCACATGTACATCTATGACTTTGTTAAGAGTTTGGTTGTTTCGTTCACCTCAGTTACGGGCATCATGTCATCCATCAGTCCACATGATCAATGATTCATTCCAGGCTCTAAAGAATTATCAAAACATACAGTTCTCTACACCGTTACTTCACAGGACCCTCATATTGTCCGCAAGGACCCTTAAAACTAATAACTGAGGTTCACCAGGACACCTATGTCTGTGACTTACAGGTGTGAGTCAAGGTAAAACCCTGATTTCAATCACATCATGAAATGGTTTCCTAGGTGATCCACAAAGAGGTAACATATGCATTTATGTATATTTATCCACAAGATGGGGTGGGAATCATGTGTCAGTGGAAGGGATCACACTGGAGGTGCTGAAGGGGGAGGGGGGTCACGGGCACATTGGACCCCACATAGTCCATAATATTTTAATAAAAATACATTTTACTTGTTGAATATGAAATGGGATATCTTGAATAATAACTATTTAAACATACAAACTCAAGGATGAATGCAAACAAATTAAATCTTAAAACGAACACACAAACACACTACGGAGGACATATAATCAAGGAAAGTGTCAATATGATTTACAACAAATATTGTCACAACGATCAAGGATCACAGCAATTCCCTGTAATTCAGATGAAGCTTCAAAGCTCCACAGAAGGTCATGCAAAAAAATCTTACAGGTCAAGGCCACAAAGGGAGAAAATATAAAGTACATCACCTCAAACATAACAGGTAAGTCTTCATCATCCTGGCAGCATTGAAATGAAGAACACAACTCAATAAGGTAGAAATTGTTGACGCAAGACACAGCTTATACAACATTCAATGAATTACCCAAGCCCTCATCAAACAACTTGATTCACTGTCTCAGAACAGGCTTAATATGGCTGAACAATGGAAGTGTTCTATGAGATCAACTGCCTTGTGTGATCAGCTGATTTGAGGAGTTTACCTGCCCCTAATGTACATGCCATGCAACATAGCATAATCAACAATGGACTTCAGTGTAAACATTGATTGTCTCTCATGAAAATGTTTATGTACATAATTCGCCAAGAATAACAAATACGTATTTTCCAAACCCGTTCCTGTCATAATCATGGTGCAGATCATGCTGACAGAGGGCTTTCCCATCTTCATGCATGTCAAGTCATATCCATAATTGTATATATGTTACAGGGAATTGGTGAAACCAGGGATTTCACGTAATCCCTAAAAAAGTAAGTGATTTCGTGAGATCCCTGTGACCCCCAGACATTTCATGTATTCCATAAACTTTCAAGGGATTTCATGGTGTAGTGGTTAGAGCGTCCGCCCGGAGAGCGGAAGGTCGCGGATTCGATCCCCGACCGCGTCATACCAAAAGACGTTAAAATATGGTACTTGTTGGTCCCTGTTTGGCGCTCGGCATAAATGGGTACAACAAAGACTGGTCGGCTCGGAGTCAGTATAATGTGTCTGAGTGGGGTATTCATGCTTCACTGTGGCATGGTATCTCAGTGGGCTAGCACTATAAAACCAGCTTAAGTCTGGGCTAGTACAAGCAGCTGCACATACACATACACACGTACGCATGCACGTCGTCATGTGAGCGAAATATTCTCAAGCACGACGTTAAACCCAATTTCACCTCACCTCACCTCCTAGGGTGACCTCTTTCCTCAGACTGTCCACGTTTGGCATTTCTCATGTCTGATGTGACAAATGTATTACATGTTATGTAATATGCGCTTGGAAGTGCAGCAAGAGGAATCATCAGTTGGGATTAAAACAAATCAATCAAATGATTAACCGATAACACACTGATTGATTACTGTATTCTGTCGTGCCTGTGTAAAAACAACATCCTTCCTTCAAATATATGTATTTTGTTATTATTAATAATTTGTAGCATTCAGCAGAATCATTCCACTTCATTTTTTTTAGCTGTTTTGTTTCGTTGAGACAGACAGTATACACTAGATCGCACTTAGATCCACATTGGCAATGTATAAAATGTCTAGATATTACAGTCCTTTTATATTCACTGGAACAGATTGTTTACCTTTTATGAAGTTTGAAAAATGCATAAAAATATAATGATAAATACATTCGGATTATAAGACAAAATTAAGACATTCATTGACTTTTTTTCAGTCTTAACATTTTGTATCACTGGCATATAAACGTCGAATTGTGTTCATTTTTTGCCATAATAATGAAGATGAAAATAGTAATGAGTAAAACAGATTTCATCTTTGTTATCAATGTAAGGATATGCATATTATATTTATACTATCAATTGCACTTGCGGGTTGCACAACAGAGATTCAACCCAATCAAGAATTCTGGGTTATCATCTGGGTAGTTGCAGGGGAAAAACAATAACAAAAGCAACAACTATTCCCGGGGAATGGCTCTGGATCAGTGTCAATTTAAGCTACAAACATTAATTTCACACATTCACTGATATCCTAACAGGGAATGTGTGTTATGGAACACCATGACCACCAGTAATTTCATGAAATCCCTTGACATTTTAGGGAATAAAATAAGTGGGCCCAAAGTTATTCCCAGGAAATCTCAACCATACAGCGAATGAAAATACACATTGTACCCATGTGAGGAATCAAACCCAGATTTTCAGTAATGACTAACACCTGGCTTGCTTTACTACCCTAATGTATAAATAAATCTTCTAACAATGCTTCAGTCACACTGAAGGAAAAGAGCCTCATTATTTGCACTGTGGACATGAGGAGGAAATCTTGCCTTCAATGAAGTTCAACGAAATATTGTGTTAGAGTCACAACACAAAACTGACATGGGATATCAAACATCCTTGACATTGACAACAGGATTTCACAGCAGTTGTTTCAAGCTGAGAGACTATAGTCTTATGATGTTGAGAGTTTTATTCTGAGAATTCTACTGGTTAACCGACACAAATACAACATGCAGGGGGACTATTGTTGTTTGTCATGAGAAACCTGAAAATTAGCGAGTATGATGAGTTCATCAAGAAATCACTAAGTTAACTTGTAGTTTCCTATATTACAAAGCTAACATGTTCAGCCAGGAAGTAGCATTTCTATGCTTCTCCTCCATACTAAAGCAACCTTCACATACAGGACTTGTTTTTGGTGTCAAAAATGATTAACTCCATTAGCCAAGCCTTTTGGTATGGTTGACAGCAGACATTACTAAATAAAGCATGTTAAAGGAATGAAGATCAATAACTTCATTTCGGTGTGTTTTTGCATATTCTGAACAAGCCTGGAATTATGGCAACTGGCCTGTTGGAACCGCTCATTTGTTAATGCAAAGAGCTGCAAATTAATGTGAATATTGTGCAACATCTCAGGACCACCTTCTACCTGTACAGTGTGGGCTTCAAGCTTCACATATATAGGGTGATAACAGCTCAGGGATCTGGACTGCTTATACGCTGAGGGACATATCTTACTTTAAGTAGGAAACACTGAATATCTGGGGTCTCCAGTCAAGATAGGGAACAAAAGCCACAATTGGAAATGTCAATATCTGAACAGAATATAGTTTTCAAAAGAAATAAATAAAACTTTTATTAAGCACATCCTGTTATATCCTGTACCTGTCTTGATATGTCTGATGTTAACAACCTGATAAGAGAGGTGCATCCACACTTGATGATTATATACCAACATGCTAATTCAGATCTCAATATACCTGGGTCAGGGTCCATTTACCAACAACCATACAAAAATTATACATGATCTTCAACATATTTCCTTTGTTGCCAAACAACCTTTATTTAAATGCCTTACATTAAAGTAAAGATAACCACACTGAACACCATGCAATACTTTCAGAATGTCAAGGCAACAATGTAGCGTTATCACTCCTCATCTACTTACATATGCAGTGTAAATTATGATTAATACGTAAACACTTTCAAACAACAAATAAACATAATTCTGAATATATTATCTAATGTTTCCTAAGAGTTTGTTGTTTAACATCCCACCAAGCGGGGAGGAGGGGTTACTGGCCTAATGGATAAAGCGTTCGCTCGTCACACCGAAGACTCGGGTTCCATTCCCCACATAGGTATAATGTGTGAAGCCCATTTCTGGTGTCAGCAGCCGTGATATTGCTGATTGCTAAAAGCGGCATAAAACTCAACTCGTTCACCCACTAAGCAATATTTGTGGTAAATAGTGGGAGTTACCTAACAAAAACATGCAGTACATTGTATCTTACCTTGATATCCATTATGTAGAATAATCTGTTTTGCTGTGAAGGAACAACCTAAGACTATGGAATGGAGTGAGACTACTATCACACCCGGAAGACTGAAGCAGTCCACTCGACAGTTTCCTGACTCAGAATAGGACAGCCACCATTAGCTGACGACCAGCACTCAGATCCTGATAAATTTACTCTCCTGATAAATGATATCTGAACTTCAACACCTGCTATACTTTATAGGACTTCATACCAAATATCAACTCTATGCATCTTGAACATATGTAATACCATGAAGTGAGCTACTAATGTTAACCCAACCTACCCATCATGTGAGCCCATGAGATATGTATCTAGTTGTCAAGGAAACTCACGACATACTGATCTACTGTACCAAATCTATGATGGGCAGGTGACCTGAAACACAGGTGTCATTATCTATGGCCTAACCTGCAACCATACTATGATAACCCTTGTCAGCTTTACATACAGTCTGGGTCAACAACAGTCCACAGACCACCTGAAGGAATTTTATCATCAAACGAATGCAGAAGAACAAATACAAATATTTATGTGTATACTTTATGGTTAATATCTAGGAATAAATATAACAAATGTCATGTAATTGCTAAGTTGAAACATTTAACTGATATTAATGAAATGTTGTGTATATGATTAGGATTGAAATAGTCTCAACTGCAGAAATTAGGAAATCAATGATACTATCACTCTCCATAATCATGAATAATAATTGGTTATAACTGTCCTTCCATGACAACAAAGATACAGAAAGAAGAGGTTTATAATGAACATACTTTTACATCTTTTACTTACTGGTATATCACATCTATTTCCAGTCCAATATTTTGCACCTTCTTGCTATTTGAAACTGGATCATAAGCAACACAATAACAAATAGTTGCAGGCATACAAGTGCATATCAATAAAATCCACAAAATCTGAAACATGTAATCTGTAATTATGTTTTTTAAAATATCTAAACCATCATCACAATTGGAAACATCTCTGGCACAGGTGACTGCCTGAGTTAAGCTCAACCTTTAATAGTATTTTAGATACACATGCCAGCTTAATCATGTTAATGAGAGCAGAAAACATTCATAAACATGATACAAGGCACAACCTGGAAATAAAAAGACAAGTGGAACCTTGTTTCAAGGGGCACAACTCTTGCCTAGGTAAAACATGCAACAGAGAAACTTGAGCTGCAACTAAATGAATGCATACCAGTGTCTATATCTACCACCTCATACCACCTGCCAAGTGTGCCAAACAATCCCTATTACTGACCCTGCTGAAAACATCAGTATCCAATTCCTATCTCATGTGTCTCAATCTATATCATCTGCCAGTGAGATATATCTGGCAATCCAGCTATACTTCCTGGATTGTGTAGCAGCTATCAGTTATGAGAGGGAACACCTTTCATTACAACAGAAAAGTAGAGTAACACCAGAACCTAATCAAAAGCCATGTGTAGTACAGCAGTGAGATCTCTGTCTACCAAATGTAAGACAATCG